AAAAAAAAAACTGCTTTTTTTTTTTTTTTGAACTAATATTTATTATATACAAAAAAAGATTAACAAAAAATTGTTGGTAAAATTTTCTTGTTCACTTTTTTCACATGCACATTATAGTTTATAAATTTTGTTAGTAGACAAGGAATTAGACTGAACCGAAATATGCTTAAAATAAAAAATAAGTTTTTTATCGCCTGTAAGAAAGAAACTGTTATCAGTAAATGAAATTAAGCGAGATGACCTGTTTTGAATTTTAATGCCATTGAAAAACTTATCAAAAAACGAGAGGTCTTTTTAATGCTTAATTAGAAAAGCAAAAAAAAGCTGCTATAAATATTGGAATTTTAGTTTTAAAAATTTTTTGTAACCTTCATCTATCAATTGCAGAAAAAAATTTTACATAACAGTTACTGTTATATCAATTAAGAAATTTTATTGCTTTTTTTTTTCAATAACAACAAATGTAACATTGAATTTTTTATTTTTTGAACAACTTAACTGTTTTTTTTACCGTATAAATTACTGTTTCTTTTTTTTTTGTCAACCAAACAGCAACTAATTTAATAATTTTTTTATTTTTTATTTTTTGATAGAAAGGCATTTCAAATACAACAGATTACAAAAACTGACAGCAGATTTACAAAGCAATTTTTTACATTTAATTATCAAATAATCTTATCATTCGATAACATCAAAGAAACTGTCTTAGCAACAATAAATACCAAAAATTATAAGACTTACCTTCGCTATTGTCATAACTATTTTCGGGTGGATGTTCATCCATGGATCTTCAAGAACTGCAAAAACGAATGCATAAAAATGGGTATGCGTAAAATGAAAGTAGAAAAAGCAAGAAGAAATGTTAAAGGCAACAATTGTATAATAAAAAAAAAGAGGTTTAATGAACAATTCAAAAAGGTTAAAACTTGCAAATTTTTGTACACAGAAGAAAGACGTCTATCAAAGAAAATTATTGACAGTAAAGGCAACAAAATGAGTGGGAAAAAATACAGACATTTTTTAAACAAAATTTCTTGAAACATTTCATCAATTCAGTAACAGCAGCAACATCAAATGTTGATGATAAACGATGACAAGAATAGGAACAAGAGTAAAAAAAAACGGAAACTTTTCCAGTATTTACTGTTATATCCATCTCTGGTGATTGATACGAATGTACAGCAATTTTTAGAACAGTTTTTTTTTCTTCCCAAAAAGCTTTTTTTGTGCACAGCAAAATGTCTGCGTAAACATTCTAATTCTTTTTAAAAAAAAAAAAAAAAAAAAAAGGAGAAGCAGAAAACCTTTTTTTTACTTTTTTAGTATAATCACAAATTTTTTGAAAGATAAAAAAGTTTGTCTATTTCACAGCAAATCAAT